TTGTGAACATTGCAAAAGTGGTGAATTATTACAATTCGTAAATTCAAATTTTCTTTGTCAAAACATTACACTGAAAATAATTATTAGTAATTATTGAGCATCATCAATGACGTTCAAATAATTGCAGAATACTTGATATCGACCTATTTCTCAATGTTATCTCGGTTCGCAAAGGGTTAATAGTTCTTCTCTGCCAGCTGTAGCCAGATTTGTCCGAGCAACAAACGTTCCAATAGATCGAAAAAATTTAAGTCATTTTAGTCATATCAATGCGAATAATTATAGCGGATATAGTGCAAATTATGTGATAATGCATGTAAGCAAGAAATCTTTGATGTTGCACCGCATCGAAGATCTTACGATATATTTTAAACTTGTGATTTAATTTCTTATTTATTATTTTATTTTTTGTTTAATCATATATTTATATAACATTTATATTACATTTATACAAAGGTCTCTTGCATAAAATACTTTTCTATTTTAAATAAAAACTTAATGCAGAAATCCATATTTGTGCTTAGATTCTTCCTGCTAAATTTACAAAATGTTTAGAAATTTTGAGAAATTACATAAATTATATTTTAACAATGAAATGAGTTTATAAACGTTTTATATTAAAAGCATGCAATAGGAAAGTTTATATCACAATTGGCTTGAAATTGATCTTCTTTAATTTAATCAGTTTAATTGAACATCTATCTGACTGTAATTAAGACTTAAAAGGTTTAAACAACGACATTCATAAACGCTGAATAATTAAATCAATTTTCTATCGGCGAATCCTGTTGGTCCCCCAGTCAGCGTCACATCAAAATTAATATCTAGGAAATTAATTGCACGTACCACGTTAATTATAATCTCCTAAACGATGGAGGATAATTAACGGATTTTCCGAGAATTTTCCCTATTCCTCTTTTTCGCTCTTTGTTCTCCCTTTTCGTTGAAAGTCACAACTTCATCGGAGAAAGCTTCCGATATAGAACTGCTTGGTGGTTGGTACACGAGTAATAAAATCCGCTGGTCATTGACAAACGCGGATAACGAATTACTCGCATGCTCACATAGGAAATACTCTTGTCATCGGCTATCAGTGAAACGACTCTTAAGCATTTGTCGGAATGCGCGAACAATCATCGCCGAACCATTCACTGCTCGTGCCCCGGTCTGTAAAATATAAAAACTTTCTCGTGCCGCAAGCCGAATGTTCCACATTCGAAACTGAATGGCAGATCAATTCAACATATGAAAACATGTATGAAAATATATCAAGAGATTATGGACAGATTTAAAATGACGTTGACGATATCGCAGTATGAATATTTTAAATAATTTTATATACAAGAAAATCGACACATTTAAAATGTAGTAAGAGAAAAACAGATTGCTAACATTTAAATATAATAAATATTATTATTATATATAATATTTTAAAATTAGAGGGATAGTTTTTAAATAAATTTTTCTCTACAAAGTCTTGTTTATATATAAACATCGGCCCGTTATTTCTTTATACCTTTGATCTGACACTATAAACATCACTCATATTCGTGCCGGAAACTAGTAATTTATATATGTGGGAATTAAACCCCGTAAAATTCTCATTAACTTTTCATTAAAGCCACGTTCGATAACACGAATAATATTGAAGATAACGGAGAACGAAAATATGTAACAGAATATAGATTTCGTGCGCTGATGAGGAACGTTTGGAGCTGAATCTTGAAAAAGTCTCGTCGATGTCTGGTCTCTTCTCTTGCCGCGGGAGTTCGATGTTATTAGGCCGTATCTCATAAGATTCTTTATATATAGAAGCACGTATGCGTATTTTCGCGAGATAACGCGCTCGAGATCCTCCGCCACGTTACGACGACCGCATAAAGTGCCGCTTCGCGTCCGTTAATTTTCTTTCGGTGACCCCGAGCAATATCGTATTCGGCGAGCAACAAGAACTTTAGATATACTATATTTTATTTTGTTCTGTCCGAATCTCTGGATTTACAGCTGGATTACGCGCTTTGCATTCGTTCGCGCTGCGCTGCGTTAAACGTGATATACTCGCTTTTACACTTTTTTTGTTTTCTTCCTCGGCTACGCGCATTACACGTTTTGTTTAATAATAAACGAGCGCGCACAACTTCGATGGACGAAACGAAGATTCGGTTTTATTCAAGTATGAAATCGACGACAAATTACAGTACGTGAGTACAGTCTTGCCTTTTTTCCTAATAACTGAAATTATTATTTGATTGATATTTAATGACAATTATACGAGATTATAAAAAGATATTTTAGGCATTTACATTTTAAAATATTTGTCTATATTTATCTGTTTATTCCACTCTCATTCTCACTCTACACATTTTATTTTAATTCTCAAAATTCTAATTTTTAAATATATGATGTAGTAAAAATTGTTTTATTAATATCTTCGCACAAACATTCACAACGTGTCGCGGTATTTTATTAGCGTAAAGTATTAAAGTTAAGCTAATTTAGCGATTAGAGGTGAAATAGGCTATAGAAGATAAGTGTCCTAGCCTTAATGATTTTATCGCGATCGGCTATGAACATTAATCGAGCGCCCTTACAGCTCTAATGACTTAATAGAGACGCTTCCACGCACTCGCATGGTGCGTCGCGAGATAGAGTCGTTCCGAGAGAAGTGTCAGATCGATATCACGCAAAGATATCACGCAAGACGATCTCGGGAGACACGTAAGGATACTTAGGTAGTTCTCGCATAAATCAAATCGCCGATGGTCCTCTCTCCCGTATCGACGTCGCGATAACGATTATCGGTATGTTTCACGTTCAAAATATTCCGCGTCTCCGTTCCGAACGTATCGCCGATAACGGCGCGTTAATCCAGCTCGGATTGTCAATATCGCACCGCGACTCGGAAAATCGCATTTTCCGTCGCCGTCAGCGAAATTATTGCGCGAAAGGCACGCGAGCGAGTAACATCGCGAACGGGTAAAGCCAGACGACGGCGCTTCCTGCCGCTGTCTGACATTTGCCTCGATGTTAACGCATCGACTTTCGTTGATTGGAAAGGCTGATAAATATGGTCGCGCGAAAGACATTCAATCTCCTCCGATCGGTCGTTACACGCGTTTTATTTATGGCATCGATTCCAGAGTGTCCCGGTGGGACGCATCGAACTTTTAGGAATGTTAACGGGCTCGCTCGCAGGAAACTGTATTTTACGTTTGCATCGGAGCGTGTTCAATAAATTGAGTCGTTTAAGTTCACCAGCACCGCGGTGTGGACACGTCGTATCAATTTGTATCCGGTTCTCCTCTAAATTCCTCGTGTTTTCGGACTAGGCGAACTCGCGCTTACTCTCAGAGTAAGCTGTTTTGAATAAATTCGATGTTCTCACCGGAAATGGATAATTTATGACGTCTTTCTTACGGCAAAACTTGATTCAAATTACACGTGCGATTTATTTTGTTAGGAAACAACGGCCAAGCGGAAAAAGAAAGAATTCCGAAGAATACACAACTTCTATCTATACTTCGTATCAACTTGTCTCAACCTTAAAATAGTTCGTGATATGAATTACCGACATAAACTGACAATAAGATGTCACGACGATTTTGCGACTTCACACTTGGAGCACTATAAATTGCCCGCTGCTCCTGTTGTTGCTACTGAAAATAGAAGGCGGAGAAGACACGCGTATTCCCGCGAGGCGACGACACGTAAACGATCGGGAAGTCGATTCTCGTATTTGTACGTCTTATTCACGAAGCAGACATAATCCCGGCATGTCTGCGTAACGGTAAAAACAGATCGGCGTGCATTCACTTTTCCTTGCTATGTATACGCACACTCGCAGGCGCATTATCCAGCCGCATATGAGGCACGCACTTTGCAGCACGCCTTTTAAGGGTATATGCGAACGGTAACGCGTCAGTGCCTAGTAACAAGCCGAAACATATTGTATTTCTCGAGAAATACAAATGGCGTATCACGCGATGCAATTGCATACGTTTAATCATCCTTTTATGCGTGTTTTAGACGCGGAAGTCTCAGTTAAAAGCGAGACATAAAAGAAATTGAAGAGGAAATGCGGGACATCAGAGATGAGCGTCACATTATGATTTTTCTTCCGTACGCAGACACATAAATTGCACATTATATTTATGCAATATTTATTATGCACACATGTTATAGTTATAATTAATGTTTATCTCTCTCAAAAAGATGCTTTTAGAAACATTTTTAGAAATTAATAAACAAAATTACTATTTCAAGTTTTTCTATACATAATTTTTAATTATTTCCGCAAATTATTATGTTCTGACAAAAATATTTTAGCTGCATTTCCTTCCTCGCGTATCGCTCGCATTATTAGTACGGTAAATTAAGCAATTAACTAAATGTTCATTTGAGCAATCGAGTAAGTCACAAAAATCATCAAGAGGCAAGGAGAGAAGTGTATTCCACAATTTTTTATCATTACGAGCGCTTTGCATACCTCCAAAAGGATCGGAAACAACTTTCACTTGATAATAATAGCTGACACTTATTCCTTTCCGCGTATCACGCTGCGTCACTGTGGTTACTAGTTGTTCGGGGTTCTCTTTTCTAATTATTCAAGTCACAAATATGGCTTGTAGAGACAGATGGAGGCGACTCTTTAGGGGCACTTTAGAATTGCCCGAAGCAGATGCGCAACATTCTAAGAAATTCCTGAGGAAACTCGCGGTCCTAAACTGCCTCGGGGAACGATGCGTCCCGGTATATGCGCGCCGTCGGCTAAGTGTCTATTAAGATTAGAAACTGGGTTAATATTGCTCCCTAGGATGAACCACTACTTAAGTGAAAGCCTTGGCGGCTCAAGTTAATTCATCGCCGTGTTGCGCAAACGTATCGCTAATTTCTCCGCTCGACCATTTAAATGCCTACCAAACGTGGTGTGTGTGTGTGTGTGTGTGTGTGTGTGTGTGTGTGTAGAAAATGATTAATTTAATCCTTCTATCTGTTGGCAGATTGATTCGATGCTTTCAAGAACGAGGGACAGGTGACAAGCAAGATCCAGACGAGCGTCCTGAGTTATCTTTTTCGAACTTTGCGAGGCATCAGTCGGGAGCACAAGGACGAAACAATGCTGAGCCAATGGCGAAGACATTCTCGATGGAGTATGTTCTCCATCTTCCTGATTTTCGGATTGATCTGCAACGGCGACCTGGCGCCACTCAGTGTACCTGATGCAACATTATCATCGTCAACATCAAGTCGTTCTCTGGGTGATTTCTCTTGGGGATGGCTCTTTACGCTGGACACGCAGGACGGCCTCCAGTCGGGCATGGACTCGGCTACTCTTTTGCGAAGGATAAAACCGAAGAGCGTGTTCATCGCGCCGGCATTACCCGCCTGTGCGGATGGTTATGTTGCGGACGATAAGGGCAGATGTGTAAAAAATGTAAACCTCGACATGGACAAGCACAGAACTTTCCTCTTGGGGCGACTCAACGCCAAGTACGCCACTAATCAAGAAAGCCAGAAGACGGCATCGACTGGTCCTCTGCAGCTTAATATCCCTCTGATACCTAATACCAATTTGCAATCAGCGGTAGTCGAAGTCGATGAAATGTATTTGAAAAACCCATCCGTTACGGTGCGAGTTCGTAATCAAACTAACGCAAAGATCGACGAAGAGAAGACGAAAGCGACGGAGCCGCACGAGTCGAATCTGTATGATACGAAAAATGACACTCTAAACGAGCAGGAATCGACGTTTTCTTTTGAGAGCGTCGACAATATTGGAAAGATTAATCAGAAGCTCGACCCACTAATTCTCCTCGAGAAGACGAACACTAATACGAATTTCTCGGAAGTGCAGGACTACAAGGTCCCGATAAATCTCAAGACGTTGTTGAACTCATCAAACGTAAAAAAATCAACTTGAATGACGATACGAAAGAAGATGTCTCGATGGCGGAAAAGAAGAAGAACTCCACCGAAACGTCGTCCCAAAGTCTGCTGCTTTTGATTTCGCCTACAAAGTTCATGAACATAGTGAATGACCTGCCGTCGACACAGAACAACACCGCCGAGCAAATCTCACAAATATCCAATCAAACCTCGGGCACTACCACAAAAGAGAACATCGGTATGTCGGATTCTACGCTTCCACCCAAACGATTGACGTCGATTCCGCTAGACGAACAGCGAGATAACGAGACATACGCGGAAGACGAGTTGACATCGGAAACTTCCACGTTGAATGATTCGCAGGAAACGGAATTCTACGACGAAGAACAGGAGGATTATCCATACAGCACGGACATACCGGAAGACGAAGACTCGACGGAGGTGGAAGGTGAGATTTTGAAGCATGGAGAGGCCGGCATGACGATTCCCATGCGAAACATCGAGCGACTCGATCGCGATCGTGATCAACAGCAACGAAACCGGAGCGCAGATCTGCGGGAAAAGATGCCCGATATCCGCGATCAGATCATGATTCGCTTTAACGATTCCGTGCCTGAGAATAAGGACGAAGCAGAGAGTAACATCTCCAGTGAAGTCAGCATCGACGGTGACCTCATTTTAGAGACGACGCTCTTAGACGTGAACACCGAGAGGCTGCAAATCACCACCAAATCGCCGGACGTGAACCAAAAAATTGTCAAAGATAGCGATGACGAAAAAGAATCATCCGACAAGAACCCCGATATAGAGTCAAAAATCGTGTTCTCCGAAGACGCTCAAAGCGCGAAGTCCACGAGCTCGCACGGACAGAAAAGCGAACAAACGGAACGATTCTCCATAAGGCTCGAGAATGAGAAAAACAAAGAGTCGAAAGGTGCATCTTCTTCGTCCGAGTCACTATTATACGATCCGCCGGAGGATGATCCGATAACGGAGGTCGCCACTACCGACGAGGAACAATCGAATGTCAAAGGGAACACGCCGCAGGAAAACCCGCCAGACTCAAATGTCCTGGCAGACAATCTCAGGCCGACTACGGTGAACCTAGAATCCTCGGACGAGGATTTCGTGAGATTTCCCGATTACGTGAGACAATCGCAGCGGAGCGATTACGTGAGGTTCCCGTCCAGCAAAGTTAACAGCATACACAGTCCGAGTTACAAGCAGGATTTGCGTTCTTCTACGGACGACCTCGATCCTTACGACAGCACCAGCACCAAGAGCAGCGTTCCTGTACGTCAGAAACCAGTTTACTCTCTCACGGCGTCGAGCTGGAAGCCGGACCGATCGCAGTCCGATCGCGTCCAGGCGACGACCAGCAAGAGGCAGAAACACAGATCAGATTTGCTGCATTTCTGGAACAAGATGCCGCTGATCGAGGACCCGGTTGTGATCTATCCCTTCGATCAGGATGATGACCAGCCGATACAATTCCGATTTCCATCACGAAGGCGAAGGATGAGCTCCTCCGCGGAAACGTCACCGGAGAACATCAACAGGGTTACGCAGAAACAGAGAACGCCCATCGATGTGTAACTGTCTTCACATCGCTTCCCTTGAAAAAAAAATCTAATAAATTGTGTTTGGAACTGTATCGAATAATTCCGAAAATAATTCTGAAACTGCGTCAAAGTAGTTCGCGGGTTATCGTTGCGATCGTACGAGGACTCCGTTGAGAATACAAAATCGACGAGGAGAATTGTCAATGAATGATATTCTGCGCTCTCTTTGAAAAGTTCATGAACCATGATACTACATGTATTGTACCTAGTATTTCTTTCTGTTGCTCAGCGAATGCTGTTGCACATCGATAGAAATTTCGACGATCTCAGGAGGAGTGATCTGAAATCTAAGTATCTTCCATAGTATTGCCTTCCGTGCTCTCGTGTGAGAAGAAAACTGGACTTGCTAAGAGCGGAAGAAATTTAGTAGAAGCGTACTTAGACATTCGTTTATTACGTTTACGTCACATCCTGTCGGCGATTAAGCTCGTATCCGAGAAAATCTTTTCGAGGGAAATCTCGCAAAGAATGCGTCTTAATAATAGTTACGTCGAGCAATTAATAGCGATAAGCGTTGGATAGAGAAAGTAGTAAGAAAGTAGTAAGTAGTGTGCTGGTGTAAAAGATTTGCGGAATCGATGATAAATTTTGCCGCCGTTAATGAGACGTATGGCTTTCCACGGAAAGTTCAAACTGCATCATGCATTTCAAAATGAAGGCATTGATGAGTCGCTAAAAGACATTAAGGATGTCTTTTGCGAAATCGTTGCGTCTGGCGATAGCGAGATATTGAATTGCGTGAAAAAAAATGCGTCGCTGCTTCGAAAACGATCGAAGGAATCGATTTCTTCGAATCATTAACATTAACTAGGCTATTTACGAAACAAACGAGCGTAAGCTAAAGTCTTCTACGGTCGTATCAAAATGCGCTACACTAGAAAAAACACTGCCGAAATAACTTTTAAATTTTTAAATTTTTAACTTTTTAAATTTTTTTACGAGTGATTTTTTACATTTTTCCGACTGTAGAAATTAATAATCCACATTCTCATCACATATTTGATTTCACACGCGACAATTTGATCTTTATATTTTTTTTATAACTATCGACGTGTCATTAATACAATGACGTAATATAATTACATCTAATAAAGTTGTATTCGTATTGATCCCATTTTATAATGCTATCTTTTATTTTTTCTTTTCTATTATTTTTTCTATCTATTATTTTTTCTCATCTATTATTTTTATCTATTATTTCTTGAATCTATCATATTATCTATCATTTTAATATGAAAAATGGACTCGATCAAAACGTAGCGTAAAGCATAATCGCATTGAATACTAAATAAATGATGAAAATGTGGGATGATGATAATAAATTTTGTAATGCAAAATATATCATTGATAAGACTATTGCATGATAAAATAATCATTAATTTCATCAGGTTTCGTGTGGAGCATCATTGACGAATTTTTATTCTCTGTTTAGCAGAGGAATAGTTATTAAACTCGTCAGTGTTAACATTAATTACAACATAAAAATGGTTGGCGGCGTTTACGAGCACGTGAGCGATATATCGAGCTCGTTTACTAACGGAGGTGTTATTGAAGCACAGACTGATCTTTAGAATTATTATAGAATAGTCGATTTTCGATCGTACGGAATCGTGTTGCTCTCCTCAGTAATGAAATACATCGAACAGCGTCAATTTTGTATTCGTCGCTGTATGATTTGCAGAGAAGAACAGCTTCGGTTACATGCCCTTTTATAGATTCTTAGATGACTCAATTGTTTCATTTGTGTAACGAAAGTGCGCGAGCGTGTAATTTCGATGTTTCATGTCAATTTCTATCAGTGTAAATTTATTTCAATCTCGGTTTAATTTTCTTTCTCATTTACTTCAATCTCGGTTTAATTTTCTTTATGTTTCTCTAATTCTTGAATCTAACAAAAGATAAAAAACAAGTTAATCTGATCAGATTAAAATTAATTCATATTGATAGAAATAGATATTGGATTTCTCCTTTGTCAAATCATGATTATACCTACATTAGCCAACCTACAGCGTAGAATAAGTGTTTTCGGTGTGACTTAATCGATCGTTTCACGTCGATAGCTTTGAAGATGACTTCGCTCAAAATAGCTGTCAAAATCAATGATCGAAAAGTTTCTTGCTGTATTTGCCTTGTCTTTCATTTACAGTGAGAGTTCCATTTCGACGAAAACGTTATCGTTACTAATACCGCTATGATAAACACTTCGGCTATGATGTAACAGATAATAAGCAAGACTACTGAGCTTTTATTTATATAGGCAGTATTAATAATATAAAAAAATCTATTTCTTATAAAATAATTTTTTATAATTATCATCGTGTGAACAAGTTTTAATAAATCAATTTTTATTAGCGCTCAAAAGTATGCGCAGTATTCTTCCTCAAAATTTAGGATGTGCTATTAAGAAAATTAATTTACATTTATTTTTCTTCCCTTAAAAAAAAAAAAATATATAAATATTTGTATGTGTTGACAGAACGAAATATTAATTAAGCAGCATTTTATTGAAAAACCTTTTTTATTTAATCCTGTTTATATACTGAAATTATATACTGAAATTCCCTAGCAGTTTATTTCTTCAGTTTAATCTGTCGCATGCAGCATCGCAGCTAGAGAACCGCGTTTTTTTTTTATCGTAGCGAGTATTATCGATACTCCGTTATCAGCATCGAGACATTTCGAATCGGCTTTTGTTATTCTTACGTCGTGTGTTCCGGCTACGAACGCGCGACGGTGAAGCGGAAAGATTTTATGATACTTGACATTGTGCGGCCAGTAAGTCTACTGATCTACGTGCGTTTCAATGTGGTGTGTAATGTCTCTCGTACTATTGAATGTCGATTCGTGTACATATTAATTTTATTATCGAGGAATGTATATATGCATAGAGGCATAATATAAATAAATAAGTGTTAACAATAGCCCAATCCCGATGCGCATTAATCGTGTAACTACATTAAATCTTACCGTATTATTTATAGCAAAATATATCGATGTATATTACATTCGTCGTGTCGTGCAGACCGCCTGTTAGGTAACAGAGTGAAAGGAATTATAAAAAAAAAAAAATACGCATGACATCCGTATGATACGAAATTATTGTGCTTTTTTTTATTCATACAACCTGCCCACACAGCATATCGTCCCATCCTACAATTAAAATGTCATATCTATGGATAAGTACATCAGCTAGTCTTAAGACCCTTAAACCCCCTAGCCAAAAGAAAGTTCTCAGTGGACTCGTCCCTCGTTGCATCAGGTCTGACTACCTTAACGCTATCATAAAATTTTAATAGATCCTGTTCAAATTGTGGTGCTTTGCCGCCATCCCAGATTTTTACAATGAGCGTACCTTGCACCTTGGTGATCTGCAACGCGAATCTCAGTGCGGCGTACGCAAGTAACATTATATTATCATGGTCCATCTCCCTCACACCGGATGCGTTTGGAGCCATGTCGGAAAGGACAACGTCGGCCGTACTTCCTTCCAACAATTCCTTTAGCGCCTTCTGCGTCTCGGCGGTTGTGAAGTCCATGTTTCCTAGGATGGTCGCACCTTCCACGGGGTAAAATGGGAGTTTATCAACGGCGTATACCTTGCCAATGGAGCCCTCCTTCTTGCCATGTGCGTTGGTTAGATTAGTAGCGACCTGTGTCCAGCTGCCAGGTGCCGCTCCGCAATCGATGACTGTTAGACCCGGACGGAAAATCTTGAACCTCTCGTTGATCTCCAGGAGTTTGAACGCGCTTCTGCAACGGTAGTTTTCCTGCTTCGCCTTCTCCACGTACGGATCACGCATCTGCCTCGTCAGCCATAGCTGCGAACTGTGCTTCTTGTTTTTCAAGTTCCGCGGAATCTCCTTAAGCAACGCGCAGTCAGTGTGTATGCGTCTCGTTTGCGAGACACTCCTGTAGAGAGAATTCATCTCGGGAAATGCGGAATCTGACCATCTAACCTATTCAAACGCACGTGGTCTAGATTTCTTGTAACCTGACAGGTAGCGGGAGATCAAGTTCTATGGCTGTTCGATGAATTTGTCGCATATAAATATTGTATATTACGAAGATATACACGTAAAAAGAAATAACCCACGCCGCAGACAAACAACACAAAACAATCATACGCCCCTCCATCTTACTCGATCGCTACTGCACTCTCGATAGCTGTGTTCATCAGAGAAAGTAACCTGCAACTGTGAAAGATTCTTTAGGCTAGCGTTCCGAAATTCATTGCCAGCACTAAAAACATATAGTTCATGTCACATATATTATAGATTTTCACTACTGGCAATGAATATCGGAACATAGCCTTAATATGATTGGCTATTATCTTTAATTCCCCCACTGGTTCTAAATATATAAACCAATCATATTAAAGATTTTTAAACAGACATTTTGCGAAGCTGCATTCTCTGCTGAATGGCCATTGGCTGCCGGATAATCAGTATCCACATCAATTAACATTCTTGAAACCGCTTTCCGTCTAAAATTTGGCACATCAATTGATAAAAAAAACTCATTTTAATCTTTCTAATCTAATCTATAACGAGATGACAAAAATATTTCACTTCGAAACCAAGGATGTAGATTTGCACTTTGTAGTTACACTTTGTTGCACTCGGAGAAAGAGAAGTATGCAAATTGATGGAAAAGAGAGGAAAGACAAGATGCGTACAAAGTGCAATGTGTGTATGTATGCATGAGATGTGCGCGCGTGTGTGTGTGTGTGTGTGTGTGTGTGTGTGTGTATGATGTGTGGAGAAAGAATCGCTCGCGCGCGCGCGCGACACGCTCTCGGGCATGCTCGTAGCGGCAGAAAAGGAAGAGTGTCGCGGCGGACCGGCGGCGACGATGTGACCGAGACCGAGCGGTGCGAGCGCGAGCGCGAGACACATCTTCGAGGAGGCCCGGATGTTTTCGTCGACGGACGGTGATCCATGATGAACCTTACCGCGGGCAACGCGCACGGCAACGGCCTGCTCTACGCCGGCTTCAATCAGGACCAAGGTATATCCCTCTCACGAACGGCGGCTGACAGCCGTGCGTGGACCATCCATCTCCCGTGTATTTGTCAACTCCGTTTCACTTTCGCGTCTAACCTAAGCCCAGCCATGCCATCCGTGTGTTTGCGATACAAGCGGTATTGATATGTCGATCAGTGTTGAATGTCCGATGTCAAAATAATTCTATCGCGACACGAGTTTCTGATTTCGCGCCTGTAATCTGGAACGCCGGAGGATCGCCGTGATCTCATTGATGAGGAAACTGATTCTTCGTAAAGTACCTCGTCACGAGGAATGTCGACGATCCTCGAACGTTCGGAGTCATACGGACAATTCGTTTTATTCACTCTGTAAGCGGGCTGCGATAAAGGAATGGAACAATTCTATGTTTATGTCTTCCCGTTTGTTCAATCTTCCAAGTGATACCGTTGCATGTAACGCGATATCGCGATATACACACTTGAAATAAATTTCACGCGATATCGTGTTTATGTGTGTTATGTGTGAGTTTATCAGGTCCAGTCATCGTGTCAGTGCGTATATGTATCGTAAATACATACGATAGTTGATTAATATTGCTAAGAAAAGAAATGTATGTATAGTAGATAAAAGCTGTATCGCTGCTGTTTACTTATTTGCAGGATGCTTCGCCTGTGGCATGGAAAACGGGTTCCGAGTATATAACTGTGATCCATTAAAGGAAAAAGAAAGACATGATTTCAGTGACGGTGGTCTTGGATATGTTGAAATGCTTTTCAGATGTAATTATCTGGCATTGGTCGGGGGTGGAGCTAAGCCGATGTACCCTACAAACAAAGGTTCTATTCGCTACATGTTTACAACATAAATATTTATAGATCAAAGTTACTTATGTTTAATAATTGCAGTCATGATATGGGACGATATAAAGAAATTACCAGCGATTACTTTAGAATTCAATGCACCAGTGAAAGGGGTCAAATTGCGGAGGGACAGGATAGTAGTAGTGCTAGAAGGTGTTATAAAGGTTTACACGTTTACACAAAATCCCCAACAATTGCATGTATTTGAAACTAATCCTAATCCACGAGGATTGTGCGTTCTCTGCCCGAACAGCAACAATTCCTTACTTGCCTTCCCTGGACGAAAAAATGGCCATGTACAAGGTAAGATTTATCACAAACAAGATCGATGCTCTTTATTTATGAAATGTATTATGTAACGCCAAAGTCTTGCATTTCAGTTATAGATCTGGCTAATACGGAGAAGCAGCCCTTAAATATAGAAGCACATGAAACGCCTTTATCTTGCATAGCTTTAAATCTGCAGGGTACCAGACTGGCTACTGCCTCAGAGAAAGGTACTCTGATAAGAGTATTTGACACTCAAAATGGTAATATGATTAACGAATTAAGAAGAGGAGCGAATCATGCAAATATTTATTGGTAAGCATGAAAAACAGAATGACATATGATGAGATATACCTTAGCACTTAGCGACACAAAATGTTGATTGACGTATGCTCTATTTCAGCATAAATTTTAATCATGATTCTACGTGGCTGTGTGTTGCCAGTGATCATGGTACTGTACACGTATTCGCCGTTGAAGATCAAAAACTAAATCGCCAATCTAGTTTAGCGTCTGCCACGTTCCTGCCAAAGTACTTCAGCTCAAGTTGGAGTTTCTGTAAATTTCAAGTGCCGGGCGGTCCGCAGTGCATGTGTGCGTTTGGTCAGGATAACAATAGCATCATAGGTAAGCGAATTAGAAACTCTAAATTAGAAAAAAAATGCGAATTAAAAATCGTTATATATTCCGTTCAATTTCTGATATTTTATACCTTATATAGTGATATGCGCAGACGGCAGTTATTACAAATTCGTGTTCAACAACAAGGGTGAGTGCACGAGAGACTTTTACGCACAGTTTCTTGAATTGACCGACGACAAAGCGTGATTGGAGGATATAGAACTGCGGTGAATTCCTAACCGCGCAACGAGAGACGACTTTCGTGTTCCTTCGTTGTTTTCACTTATTTCAGCAGTAAACAGACGAGCAGATACGGCTCGAAAATACATCGCATTAGAAATTGCAACACACGAACTGTTTGTATAGGAGAATTAATGTTCGTACTGAACGTTATGATAGAGGACCAAATGAAGAGTTCTATTAATTGTTAGTGATACCATTCGTTGGTGTATTGTGCGCGAGTTTTCGAAAAGAAAAAGAAAAAAAGAAAAGAAAGATTATTGACAGATCGAATTGACGAAAGATACGTTAATAGAGATTATGTCACAAACTTGTTACACGCGCGAGCCTATTCGCTGACGCTTATTAATAAAAAAGCAAATTTTTAAATATAACAAACAGAAGGAATACTCTCTCCCCAGGTGATAACGGGGATATCGCAGGTTACTTGTTGGCGTGATACTCACGTTTTCTTACATTTTAGATAAAGATGCTGCTGCAGCTAACTAAAGCGAATATTGCCCATAAATCATCATTGTGGCAAAAAAAAGCAAATAATCACTTTTTGTAGCTTTGCAGTACGAGCTTCGCAATGCAATCATGTATCCCTATTGATCATGTGTTTCGTAGTTTCGTAAATTTTTTCGTTATATATAAATGCAATTACTATAAATGATATACATCCCTATCCTTTGACGATTTCAGATAGATTGTTATAATCGCATTCGTTTCAAGCGATTCGACGAACACTTTGTTTTGTAGCCGGATCATATCATATATACGTCATATACATATGTATCGTATTGAAGTATATTGTAATTTTTATTTTTACGTTTTTCCATACATTTAATATACATATACACAAGAGAAGTGATTCTATACTTTATATCACACGGATATCGCCCCAGATAATGAGGTTGTAATTTCACAAACAAGTTGGATTTAAATAATAAAACTATTATGCCACGACTCGGAGCCCTCCGCTATTTCTCTAGTAAATTAATCTACGATTCGTATATAGCATTCTTGACATTTTACCGAGAGCAAATCTTCCGAGGAGATCTCGAATTATGCTAAAAAATTAACTTCAGTCTTGCGCGTGAAAAGAAGTGCGCGTTTGTACAGTGAAAAGAGAGAGAGAGAGAGAAGAAAAAAAAGAGATATTTTTGGATTATTGTGTGATAATTTAGTTCATCAGAATCCTGATGATAAAATCCAGAATGTATGTGTCGCATGTGAGCATACGGTGAATATGCAATTTTTTTTATTGAATGAAACCTAAATACTAGCGTATCTGTGCGTCGCATTAAAGAACCACCTTAACGAACGTAAAAGAGCATGTAACTTTAATAAGGCAGAACAAAGAGAACCGTTTAAATATAAGAAGCGCATTTCTTGCAGGTCCTCTTAACAAGTCTTCACAAAATTCTTTCCGTTCGTCTTGTCCTACGTACGCGCAATACACTTTATATCGTATTGTAAATCTTTCGTCAACTTGTAATCAATTTCTCATTTTCGAGCTAACATTCCTTATATAATTTTGCAATCACTTTTAAATTGACATCTCAATTTCAAGATTTCCGAAAGCACATAATACTTCTTAAAACACATCTACGTCATTGACAGCTTATTGCGGTTGAATCTTGCGGTTCTTTTACCGAATCACGGATTTTTTCATCCTCGTCAAAAAATAAGTTTCTCATTGCTATCTCATAATATCTTTAAAGTTCGTAGGGTTTGTTCACTGAAACCTGGATCGCCTTTGGTACCTCCAACGGTACGGGTACTGCGTACTTTTTTTTCATACTGTGCACTTCATGCGTAAGTCCTTTCTTCGTCTCGAGGCTCTTATAAGTACTGTATACCACGAACCAGACGTAAAAGCTCATGATTATCAGGAAAAAGGCGATTAGACCTGAAAATATTACAGCTTCTCTGAATAGAAAGCATCACGGATATTTTGCAATAATATTTAAAGATAAAATTCATATAAAATTCTTCAATAAAAATAAATATATAAATTGTTTTAAAATTCTTATTTTATGTGATGCTTTTTAACTATAAAAGAATGAAGACCCAGTTGAGTTTTTTTTTGAGATGGACAAAATTCAACCGGAAAAGTTTAGCGTGTTTTAGCGTGTTTTACATCTTACGTTATTTTATTTTATTAATTTTTACGTACGTTCGCAAATACCCGCTCTTCCGCCTAGAGTAGCAAGGAAAGGACAATCTTCCTCTACCAAGAATAATGAGATTGCTAGGGCTGATATAATAGTGATCTTAACCATCATCCAAGGCGCCATAAAGTGACGATTGTTCTAAAAATAGAATACATTGTTAAAAAAATCTAATATTTTATTTTATTTTATTTTTTTCAAACAATTCGATTACCGTCAAGGCTCCGTAAAGAAGTAACATGGTGGAGATGAAATGAATAATTGTGATGACGAGACCGCAATACATTGCGTATACCATTTCTGCAAATACATAAAATCATCTTTTCAAATTATATAACAAGATGAGTAATGATCATTTTATTTTCTTTTTCGTGCATGATCTTTGTGCCTTATGTGAATGCAAATATTTCTGTTAATAACCGGTCGCGTTATGATGCGCAAGGTCCATCTTTTTTGTGTTGAGATGGTTCGATGATATCTCCTCCAAGGCTTCCCTTTCGAGGGCATCTTCGGTGTCTCTCACCACCATTTCTTGAATCCCCATTGCGTGCGCCAGAGCCAGAATGAAGAATATCATACTGAATCCGGACGAAAACTGCGTGCAAAATTTTTTACGATTACGCTTAGCAAAGTAGATAATTACTTGCCAGATTTCATAAAAATTATTATTACCAATTGGAATATGGCAATTAATATCGTCCCCTGCCTCAGATTAAAATAATGCAAAAAGTTCTTCAACAGCCCGATCTTCATCTTGGCTTTCGAGAATTAATCCAAATTATGCTAATTCTTCAAATACTCCTGAAAGTTCATTAATTATTTTTTACACAGTTTATAAACATCTGTGACAATATACGCATCATTGTAAAGCATACATTTCGCTGTTACGATAAAGTACTGAGATTTGCGAATAGAGAGTTTGTAAATTATACTAACATACGTGGACACTTCTTTTTTATAAATAAAATACTGAGAATAATGTCAATAACATTTCGAGATGTCCCATGCCTATTGATAATATTTCGCCGACTAATAATCCATTACGAACTTTGACAACTCCGGTCGTCAATGCGTCGAGACGCACCTTAAAGCAATCGAAGCCGCAATGATGTTGAAAGTAGGTGAAATGCACGTCGTCACACCTCGCGACAGGTGTGCTCCGAACGTGCTCGACGAACCACCACCGTTCCTTCGCGATGGGAATCAATAACTTTCGCGCACACACCACGGCAACGAGACGTGGGTTTTCTGGCACGGTAGATCTTGGGGGGTGTCGGCGAATTCTCGCACTCACTGTAATCGCGGACAAAAAATGTAACGAATATAACACGTCTCAGAGTTGGGGCGCTTGCGACGCGCAAAAATGCGAAGGGTGGCTTCGTGGTCCGAGGGGGTTGATAACAGCACTCTGCCAGTGGACTGCTCGACGTGCGCGCACGCGCTGTGGCACGCACGCTACCCTTGGGTACCACATCCCTTGGGGTGCGTCTACTCTGAATTGATCATTGTTTATTTACATGCGTCGCGTTGGCGTCAGTTAATCACGACTTGTTGGATCATAATTCTTTTAAAATAAAGTTCCTGATTTAATTAAATCCGATTAGCGCTTTGGTAGACACGATTTATTTTTTTTTCCTTATAGATGGATTAACTGAATGCGAATGTTTATTTGAAGGATTATCATTGTAAAAAAGCAATAATTTAATGAAAATTGTTTGTTTAATTTTAATTTAATTGATTTTAAAGTAAAACGAAAAAGAAATATGAGAAAAATTGAATTATGATAAATTTTAAATGTTAATGATAAAAATTTTTATATACTTTACGTACTTCGGATTTTAAATAAAAATTTTTAAGTACGGAATCCCAAAAATTTGTCTCAAAAATCCAAACGCTTAAAAAGTGCAGTAATTAACAATATTATAACGTTGTTTTATTGTACGAATTTTTGTATGAATTCGAGCGAATTTTTATTATGGAAGGATTTGCAATCTGCTGCAGAAATTATTAGATCCTTCGTAGCATGCAATTTCAAATTCTAATCTGAAAGTTAGTTCGATCGAGTTGAGTCATCTTTCCAAGTAGTCATAGAAACGTGCGCCTCAGAATGGTAGATTACGGGGTCGAGGGTCGAGGGGGTTGAATACGTGATTGTACGCTTTCGTAAGCCGCAAGAGCCGCAAACTCGTGACAGTCCGTTTCGCAATTAACGCGATTGCGCGCGTTGCTTTCAAGAATTCGTAATTTTCAAACCGATGGAACGAAAATATCAGAGAGTTGAATTGGGAGTGGGCGCGTTCCATAACCCTCCAAGAGCGAAATACAGCGAAGAGACAAGAAATCTTATTAAGCGTAAGTAAAAAATAACCAATATTCGACTCCGATATATTAAATAAAAATAAATAAATTGAACATTGTGTTAAAAACCAAACTTATTTTTTATATAATTCGGTCATGATTGTAATATCTGATAAATTTTAAATGTTAGTATTAATGGAGGAATCCAAGCTAACAATGTTGCAAAGGAAGACAATCCAAGAAGCGATAGACAAGGGAGAGTCTTTACCGCCTTCCATCGACAAGACGAAAAATACGAAGGATAAGATTGAAACTTATCAAGTAAATGTCGTGACATAAGTGAGAAATCTAGAGAAAATTATCAAGATAACATTTTGTAGCATTTTCCGTTAGGTTAAATTTCCAAGTGCTTGGAAGAGACGTTCACAAGATACAATAATAAGCAGCGGTGCTTACGAGAGAGAACAATACAGACGGACAGCGCCTTTACGTAAAGATAAAAAATATTTTTTCAAGATAATAACCGAAAATATAAAACACAAGTTGAATAATATGAATTTTACGCAATTAGCCAACAAGGAGAAACAAAAACGTCATTTGGCATGCATGATGGCTTATGGGAAAGATATGCCGGAAACTCCTCATGGTCCCAAAATCCTTCATAAGGTTAAACGAGAGCCGAAAATACCTGAGAACGCGGATTTTCTAAATGAGAGTAAGTTACCACAGTCTCTCGCGTATGGGATAATATATAAAATAAAAAAAAATATTTAAAAAAATTTTCTCTCTTGAAATTATCATTATTTACGACAGTAGTAGAGCGTCTCAAACTAAAAATAAATTTTCGTAATGCATGTTTTTGACATCGGTGACCGACAAATCGCGTCGATCTGTTTCTTATAGTGGTGCAAGGGATTCGCGAAAGGATGGACTTCTTGCATGATATGGAGAATCTCGGAATGGGGAAGAAATATCAGCCCATAATAAAACAGGAGATAGCGGAGAAAATACGACTGATCGAGTCGTTGGACAGTCAAACATCTAATGAATTACGAAAAGAGATTTGTGAAATCAAGCGTGGAAGATCATCGTCGAGCCCACTTTCGCTTACTGAGGTGGAAGAAAATTAATCTCGTTCTTTTTTCAACGTAATATACATATAATGCACGAATTACGCGAGATAAATCGGGTTATATGTGTGTCAAATATAATCGACCGTACGTTTTATCATATTTCAAACGTCATATTTCACAAGTCTGATAAATTACAAGTGAATTTCTTTGATAAGAACATAATAGATAATAATTCAATTGTCCGAAGTTATAACTAGATCGATATATGTGTAAAATTAGATTTATAATTTTATTTTGTGAAGAGAAAAAATTAAGCGATCTTTATATTTTCAGTTTTTTTCTTTAATAAATTTTTTCTTTCTCTTATCTTTTATTATATACATTTTTTACATATATTTTTATTATTGTATTTCTATAACTAAACAATTTCTCTGTACATTATAAATTAATAGATTTATCAATTCTTTTCATATTTTGATCCAAGAATCTCTATTTTAGAATAGAGATAATTGTTTATACGACGATAGATTCATTAATTTTTTATTCATGATGATAATTCTTAGAAAATCATCCGATTCGCAAATTGAAATATAATTGTACGCATCTGTCAAACTATCATCTGTAAAACTGTCGTTTTAAAGATAAAAAAAAATAGTAAATTACGATTACTC